CTGAACCTAAAAATGAGGGGGTTGGGATTTTATAATTACATCCAAAACAAATGCCGACAGATAACTGGCAAGTACATAAAAGGAGATGAACAGGCACGCACTTCAACAACAACTCACACACTAAAGGGATCTGGAACTTAATTAAAGTTGTGCCACATTTTAAATAATGAATTAGCTACTATATCTGCAGTAAATGCTGCTTAAGTTAGCAGTTTTATTTTTATATATGCCAGTCAACACTCACATTATTTCATGAAATATTGTTATAGAGGAATATCACATTCATAGAATTTTTAAAAATAGAATATTATGAAGTAATAAAGCTTGCAGAAAACTTGTATTGCACAATGTTTCATGTGAACTTAAAGACAGCGGTTTTCCAATGTGCTCCTCAGAATCACAGGAGTTGCTTGAAAGTAGGCTCAAGAGACTACTACGGTGTGTTTGAGATTTGCTGCTCCTCTCATCCTTTCCTCTGAGCTCAAGGTCATGCCAGGGGCACAATGGTGAGGGACAAGGGGACAGAACCTCCTTTCCTTATAGTCTAGGGCAGAAGGCAGATCATCACTCAAATGAGTCACAAATTGAGATGTTTCCAAAGACAGGGGAGCCAGTACTTTGAGACTCAGCAGAGCTTCTGCTGGGGGTAGGACTATTTCCCTGAAGAACTGCTGTACCTGCTATGACACTTGAGCCTGGGAGGTTGGCAGGTGTATAGGTATGTGCACAGGGAGGGGGGTTTAGTAGGTAGGGAGTATTTCACACAGAGAAGCAATAAATACAACATTCTTGCCAGGCCAGGTTATATTATTTAGTAATCCTAGTACAAAATGAAAGTGTGAGGCCCTAGTTAAAGCCATGAAGAATTTAAAGATGCTGACACCAGCCACAGGGCCCATCTAAGCAGGGAACCTTGCACAGCACAGTCACATGTTACATGCCCATGAAGCTAGGCTTGGCCCTTCTACAAAAGTATGTGATGCTTAGAAATCAAAGGAGAGATCAGTATAGCAGGAGCAGAGAGCTCCAGGAGGTGGTATGAGTGGAAGCTGGTGATCAAGTTCACCTGGGGATTACATCAATGCCTGCCCATCAGGGCCCTAAGAAACAATGCCATGTTTCATAATATCGTCATGATTTCATTTTTGTTTCATAAGTCTAATGTCTTTTTTTTTTTTTGAGACAGAGCTTCAAGCTGTCACCCTGGGTAGATGCTGTGGCATCACAGCTCACAACAACCTTCAACTCCCGGGCTTAAGCAATTCTCCTGCCTCTGCCTCCTAAGTAGCTGGGACTACAGGCGCCTGCCACAATGCTTGGCTATTTTTTGGTTGCAGCCATCACTGTTGTTTGGCGGGCCCAGGCTGGATTTGAACCTGCCAGCTCAGGTGTATGTGGCTGGCGCCTTAGCCACTTGAGCCATAGGCACCAAGCCACTGTTACCTTTTAAAAAAATGATTTTTCCAGCAGCGCCCGTAGCTCAGTGGGTAGGGCACTGCCCATATACACCAAGGCTGGTGGGTTCAAACCCCGCCCAGGTCAGCTAAAACTACTGAAAAAAAGTAGCTGGGCATTGTGGTGGGCGCCTGTAGTCCCAGCTACTTGGGAGGCTGAGGCAAGAGAATTGCTTAAGCCCAAGAGTTTGAGGTTGCTCTGAGCTGTGACCCTGCCCCTGGTAACCACCATTCTACTCTGCTTTGAAGAGTTACACTTTCTAAAATTCCACATATAAGTGAAATCATGCAGCTTTTATCTTTCTCTGTCTGTTAGCGTGACGTCCTCCAGGTTCATCTGAGTTGTCACAAATAAGATTTCCTTTTTTTTTTCTTTTTTTGTAGACAGAGTCTTACTTTATTGCCCTCAGTAGAGTGCCATGGCATCACACAGCTCTTAGCAACCTCCAACTCTTGGGCTTAGGCGATTCTCTTGCTTCAGTCTCCCAAGTAGCTGGGACTACAGGCATCCACCAACGACTGGCTATTTTTTTGTTGCAGTTTGGCCGGGGCTGGGTTTGAACCTGCCACCCTCGGTATATGGGGCCAGTGCCCTACCCACTCAGTCACAGGTGCCACCCAAGATTTCCTTCTTTGTAAGAGCTGAATAGTATTGAATTGTTTATACATACCACATTTTCTTTATCCATTCACCCACTGAAGGACACTTAGGTTGATTCCATATCTTGAACTGTAATGAACATGGGAGTGCACCTCTTAGAAATAATTCATTTCATTTCCTTTGGCTGTATACCTAGAATTGGGATTGTTGGATCATATAGTAGTTCTATTTTTAATTTTTTAAGGAAACTCCATACTATTTTTCTTTTCTTTTTTTTTTTTTTTTTTT